GGTCACAGGCCCTATAACTGGATGTATGCTGTGCTTAGTCACTGAGCCATGTCCTACTCTTTGTGACCCCATGGCCTGTAACCCACCAGGCTCGTTTGTCCATAAGATTTCCCAGGCAAGAATACTGGGGTGAGTTGCCATTTCCTTCTCCAGGGCATCTTCCCAACCCAGGGATCGAACCCGAGTCTCCTGCACTGGCAGGTCAATTCTTTACCACTGAGTCACCAGGGGAGCTCCCCTATTACTGGATAACTGGATTCAGATTCTAGCTTTGCCACATAAATTAAGAATTTAAGCAAAATCCTTAACCTGTCTGTATCTCTCTGGCCTCATCTAATGGTAATAATCCTCTCTGCCACACACTTATGTGGGAATAAAGTTAATACATGTAAAGTGCTTAGAAGAGCAGTCTGAATGCAGCAAGAGCTTAAAATGCAAGCTATGATTAATAGTTATTGTTCTTTCTGCTGTCTTTCCTCACAGACCCTCGTCATCTCTTAGTAAAACCACGCATTACTTCTTTTTCACTTCTTGGTTATAGCTCTCTCCTCATAACCACGCAGAGCTCTGCCCAGCACTGCCATCACCACTTTTGCTCCAGAGGTCTGTCAGCAAACCTAGGTTACCTTCCTTTCCCTTTTCCTCTTATCTGCTCAGCTCCCAAATCACTGCTCTCCAACCCACCTCTAATCTCTCAAACCCATCACCTAAACTACATGATCCAACCAGAACACAAAGGTCCTGCTGTTTCATGAAGTTCTTCCATCTTTCATTAAAACGGCTACTGATATTCCATATCTTCCACAAAACTTTCCTGTTTTGGCATTATCTTGCTCAGTTTTTCCTCTGACCAAATTCTAAGTGAGCAAATCCGGTCACTCACACTAACCACACTATCTCCTTGACTTGTTCATAAATAAAACATTTTATTGATCATATCTTGGCTCAACATTTGCTTAGTGTACTATTTAATCGGTGCTTAACACAGACCTACTGAGCTTTTGCCAATTTGGGGCAATTTTTGGACTTCTGGGAATTGCTAGGAAAAATATCTGGTTGTCACAATTAACTATTCCTCAATTATCACAATTAAGAGGACCCTACTGGTATCTAGTGGGTAGAGGTCAGGGATGCTTCTAAACACCCTAAAATGTACAGGACAGATTCCCATAAGAGAAAATCACCCAGCCCAAAATGTTAACAGTACGGCAATTAAGAAAACTTGTCATAGACTAAAACTTCTACAGTGGGTCCAGTTTTAATGTGTTTGATTATATACTTTACCTATCATAAAATCTTGAAGAAAAAGACATTCAATACATCATTTACACATGCACTTTTTTTTTTAGAAAATGTCCTACAATGTGCATTTATTCCATATCATTGTACAGGTTGCCATACAGTTATAACTCTTAAAACAATGAATGCGTTTTCTTCACCATTGTATGTGGTGCCCACATCTTTCACTTGAACATGCTGGAAATCCACATCACATGCTATATTATTATATATATAAAAATTAAAATGTAATAAAAATTTTAAAGTCATAAGGAATCTCAGAGATCATCAACTTGAATTCTAAGTAACTTGCCCAATAGTACTCAGCTAGTAGTAGTAGTTAAGTCGCTAAGTCGTGTCTGACTCTTCCAACCGCATGGACTGTAGCCTACCAGGCTCCTCTGTCCATGGGATTCTCCAGGCAAGAATACTGGAGTGGGTTGCCATTTCCTTCTCCAGGGGATCTTCCTGACCCAGGAATAGAAGCCAGGTCTCCTGCATTGCAGGCAGATTCTTTACCGACTGAGCTACAAGGGAAGCCCAGTACTCAGCTAGCAAGTGTCAAATACAGGAATGCGGTTGGTATATGAATTGCAAACTCTGCCTGTTTGCATTATCACACAAATATCACATTTAGGAGAATAATAGTATGTAAGATACATAGAATAATGCCCCCTTCGAGGACGCCCACAACCTAAACCCTGGAACTTGTGAATATATTACATTACGGGCAAAACAGACTTTGCAGATGGAATTAAGAATATGAACCTTAAAACAAGGAGAGCAATCTAGATTATCTAGGTGGGCCCAATCTAATCATAAGGCTCTTAAAAGAGGAAGAGAAAGGCAGAAGAGTCTGATGTAACAGTAAAAATGGAAAGAGAGTTGAAGCATGAGTGCAATCTGATTTTGTTTTATTGTCTTTGAAGACAGAGGCAGAAGGTCACAAGCCAAGGAATGAGATATTCACTAGAGGGGCTCAGAGCTCAGCTGACAGCCAGCAAGGTTTAACCTGTATGTAACCTCAGTCCTACAGCCATGAGAACAGAGTTCTCCAAAAAACGTGAATGATCAAAGAAAAGGACTCTCCCCTAGAGCCTCCCAATATCTTGATTTTAGCCTGATTAGAAACCATGTCAGACTTAGGACCTACAGAACTCTGACACAGTCCAGTTGTGTTATTTTAAGCCACAAAGCTTGTGGCAATTTGTTACAGTGCCACAACACAGTGTGACAGCCACATAACAAAGGTCTATAGACTGAGTTATCATCATATGTCTGCTCTGGATTATCTGTCAGATCCATAGCCTTAAAGATCATTTAAATGTAGTCTCATCAGTTATTACTGCAATCTTGTTCTTTTATGAAAATTTAAATATTAATAGGTTTAACAACTTCATTTTGGAGAAGGCAATGGCAACCCACTCCAGTACTCTTGCCTGGAAAGTCCCATGGATGGAGGAGCCTGGTAGGCTACAGTCCATGGGGTCGCTAAGAGTCGGACACGGCTGAGCGACTTCCCTTTCACTTTTCACTTTCCTGCACTGGAGAAGGAAATGGCAACCCACTCCAGTGTTCTTGCCTGGAGAATCCCAGGGACAGGAGAGCCTGGTGGGCTGCCGTCTATGGGGTCGCACAGAGTCAGACACGACTGAAGCGACTTAGCAGCAGCAACAACTTCATTTGGATATTAAAAAAATGATGCTTTAAATTACTCAGAATAGGATTTTGTTCTCTTCTCATACAGAAACAAAACCTTGCAATGCTGAATTGCTTAAAATTCCACAAACACACCATATCATTTACATCTCCATAATTTTGCACAGACTGTTCCTTCTCTGGGAATCCTCCTTTGCACACACCTGACAAGCCCCCTAGTTTTTCCCCTAGGAAACGCCTTATCTTTTTGCAGCCCTGGAGAGACTTATCCATCCATTCAGTAAAGGTAATCATTCCCTTGCTGTGCGACCACAATAAGACCAAAATACTTCCATTGCTTCATCTCTTAATTTGACTTATAAGTATTTCCATTTTCATAATCTTTACTCCTCTCCACACACCCTATGACTGTGCTTTTTCATATGTATAGTACATAGTAGAATATTAAAGACAAAGAATACAGTTGTAGGAGAATGGATGATCCCCAAATCAACCACCTAATTCTACTAGCTGGACCTCTCATTTGATGTGATATTGTATATAGTATTAGGCGTATTTATTGAATACTGACTATGTGCCAAAACTCTGTTATCTAATTTATATCTTACATATATTATCCCCAAAATCCTTAGAATACAAAAAGTATTTTTACCCTCTGAAATATTCTATACACTGTAAAATTTCAAATTAAAAAAAAATGAAATTTTATCTTAAGCAGCACAATATGCAAAATGTGAAGTTTTTAAATATCAAAAGGAATTTGTAAATATACCTGCAATCACTCTGATAAATGTGCCAGACCCTTCAACACTTCCTCTCACTCTGTATACTGTGATGTTATATATTCCACCAGGAGTCAAATCTGTAACTGTGTGCTCAGTCATCACGCCCCAGATAAGATATTCTTCTGCAAATGTTCTGTTTGATATATAAATCTTGTAATGAGTGAAATTGGTCTCTGTTGGATTCCACCTTAAATGTGCAGAAGAAGTATTCACAGCTTCCAAGGTTAAGCCACAAATCCTGGATGGTTCTATTGAAAAGATAGATATATATAAGTAAAAACTGCACACATATATGAAAAAATAAAGTAAACATAAATAGTATAATTTAAAAATCTATGTAATAATCCTTGAATTTATTCAAGTATAATGTCCTACATCCTCAGCTCTGCAAATAGAGAAATAGGCTATTATATAAACATGAGTTTTAAGTGACACATTAACATCCTCTCTAGTTCCCAAATATCTTTCCTTAATCAAATCATGAATACTTCCCATAGACATTCCTCTAGAATTACACCTCCTGCATGTTCATAACCAGAAGTATCCTTCTATGATATAGTTACAGGTTTGTTAGCTACCACCTAACAGATAGCTAGATATTGGATGGAGATGAAATAGAGCAACTTAGAGAGGCAGTGAGGGTCAGAAGTAAGGGTATTTTCAAATGTGGTTCTTCTAATTACAAAGTTTTCAGCATTTCTATATCACTGCATTTTTAATCAGTTCATCTGGTAAAGTGATATTGCTTCTTGCATTTTCATTTGTTCTCCACTGAGAGGAGATCCTGTAAGCATCATAAATTTTCACAAGAACTGTTGGTGACATATACTATCACTCCTCCCACTCAAAAACAATATGAAACTGATTTACAATGTATTTACAAACATCAAGGAAGAAAAAAATAAATTTTCTCCTTTATCAAACCCCTACCTCAATAGAAAATGAACTGTACTTATAACATTATGACATGTTATATAGCACATGTGTATATATATACATATATTCTATATATGTGGCATACATGATACATATATACATATATATATACTTGTTTGCTTCAGATTATTAAAAAACTCTATGTAGTTCCCAATAAATTTAGACAAAGACTTTTTTTGAAGTTCACATATTTTTGAGAGTTCTCTTAATCATATCATAATCATCATTGTTCCTCAATTATCAAGCTTTATGTTTAAAAACAGCTTTAATATTCTGGGGCCAAAATACTTTCAGTTTTCATAAAACTGTAAAGTGAAACTTTCATTTATGACATTTCCTTACTTGTAGCCACGTTTTCCATTATAGATGCGCTGTAATCTTTGCCTCTAACTGTCTTCACATGGAACACGTAGTCCATACCTGGAGTCAGATTCTCTAGTTTGGCTTTGTTGCTATATACCATCACTTGAAATAGCTTTTTCCTTCTAGATGTCATATAATAGGATATCTAGAGAAAGAGATAAATTCATATTTTTCATGACTTGAAAAGGATGTCATAAACTCCATACTAGTCACATCACATAAATTAATACTGTAAGATAGGGGTTATGATACTTCCTATCTTCACCAAGAAGTAATTTGGAGGTAGTTGAGGCTGGATAACTTAGTGACATTCACATAGCAATAAGTTTAGTGAACCAACATAGGAGTTTATATGCTAAAAGACCAATAGCCTCCAAATGTTTCTAAATATCACATATAGGTGTGTGTATATATACACACCTATATACAAACACATGACTTATATATATATATATATATATATATATATGCATAATATAATAGATGTGAGCGAGACTACTTGTTGGTCCACCTGAAAACAAAACCTGTCCTGTAACATTTCATGCATGCCCATTCTCCCAACTCCAGGTAAGTAGAAGACTAGAGAAGTGAAAGCAGACATTGCTGAAGTCCCAAGTCTCTGACCCTGTGGACGATGCCATGGCTTTCTCCTGGCTGCCAAAAGGATGGAAAGAGGGTGCTTCTGCCCACAGTCCAGCTAAATGAGGAGGGCCCTGTGGGTATCGCAACCATGCGTGGAGGATGTCTGCTGGAGAGAATGACACATTCTCGTTGGAAGGTAAGAGGTAGCCAGCTTCCCACTCATGTGTCTGGTTGATCAGAGAAAAAGGGAACTGGCAAGAGTTGAGAATAATCTGTATAACCACCTTTGCCCTGACAAAGATGCCACAGTCTCCCGTGGGTCAAATATGACCACACAGAGTGATCAGACTTGAACCATCTTACCAGTACCTCACCCAAGAAGTTTGACCTCTGTGCAAACACACCCGAGCAGCAAACAGTAGTGGAATATAACACAAGAGCAAAGAACTGAGAAGGGCTGGAAAAGATAGAACTGGACCTGGTTCTGTCATGTCAAGGACGCGGGTAGTGTGGGAAAACCCCACCTCCCTCACAAAGAACTCACATATGTGTCCCAGGAGAGAGACTATTTTAAGGACTGCGAAACAGGTATCAATGGAAGCCAGTCAGTGTTAGTCAAGGGAGTAGTAAAAAAAAAACAGCAAGAGAGAAAACAGCAAAAATAAACACCTGGCATAGAGGAGGCACTTCAATTTTTGTTGACTCAATGAATGATGTGTCACGTTCCATGTCAGTTTATCTTTCATTATAACCATCTTCCACTATAGCCAATTATTCATTAAAACCTTCAGAACTGGCATTGCCTTTAGAAACTTTCAGTGGACTGATCTGATAGTCCCAATACTTCGGGGATTTTTTTTTTTAATTCATTAAAAGCTACTTATAACAATCTTTACTCTTCTTTATTCCATATTTCAAGGTGTAAAAGAAAGATACATCTAAATGAAAGTAGTCACATTCATTTTATAATTTTAATTATATTACACTTTAAAAACCACTTGCTACGTGGTAAGAGTCAGAGAAACAAATTTCCTGGGCAGACATGTTTATCACTGTCTTGTGGGAAGAGTATTTTGTTACTTAAGAAAGATAATCATGAGGTCTAGAAGCCTATCACTGCTTATTGATTTATAAGGTGTCACTGGCAATTATCTTGTTTGTCTGGCATATGGTAAGATAGGAAAAGTGAACAGAATGCTGAGAACTTCTGGTATGAAAAAGGATGGTAGGAGAAAGTACCATGTAATAGAGAAGACTGTACCCTTAATGAAATGCTAAACTCAGACATACAAAGAATCATAGCAAGGCATCAGGGAAGGACTGAAAGGAAAAGACATCAACTGCAGTGATCTCAAGATAAAATTATGAAAATTTTTAACATAAATTTGTAAATTAGAGGTTTGTGGAGTTCCAACTATGTGGACTCCATGTATCTAACAGAAATCAATTGAAGAAAATGTAATTTGTTCTTTTATTTCTACTTTTAAAGCAGAATTTGAAGACCTGAAATGATTAATTTTATATGATTAGGAAAACGATCCCAATTATGCATGTGCACTTTGCTAAGCAACCAGGATACTGTTGCTTAATTCATTAAAATTTAACAAATAATCTCATTGGTAGAGAAAGACTAGACTATTAGAGATAGTTAATATAGTTAATAAATATAATCTGAATACAAAAGATTAACATGATTTCTTAAAATAACTTTTACTTGATACATAAATTACAATCTCAAAAAAAGTATTCATATAAAAATAGTAAAAAGTAATTCTAGGAGTTTATATTTTATCTGACAACAAATAATTTTATGGCCTCGGCCAACCCAAGGAAAGATCATCTTTTTAGCCATTTGCCTTGAAATATGAGAATTAAGACAAACAGATAAGGGTAAAAAATGTGCATCTTCTACATTAATATTATAAATATCTAGAATTTTCTTTAGGAAATACCTATACTAAGTATAGGAATGAATTAAATCATTCTACAAAGGATAGAATTTTTCATGAATCATTTATAACTCAACACACCCCAATCATTGAATGACATTTACAAATGACAAACAGAATACTGTCCCCACCCCCCACCCCCCCGCAAGACTTGTTCATGTAACATATCCTCTTCTCTTTCCAGTGAGTCTGAATCTTACCCATTCCCAAAAGTTCAACTCGAGTTCTACCCTTTGCTGGTAACCGTGTTCAGTATTGATACCCTCCCTCCAGAACCCCAGTCACATATAGCAGGGGTCCCCAACCTCCAGGCCACGGACCAGTACCTCCTGCCAGATCAGGGGCAGCATTAATTAGAAATAAAGTGCACAATAAATGTAATGTCTTTATTATATGCATTATGTATGTAATACATACACAATTACATGCATCATCCTAAAACCACCCCCCATCCCCAGTCAGTGAAAAAATTGTCTTCTGTGAAATTGGTCCCTGGTGCCAAAAAGATTGGGGACCACTGATATATGAGAACACTGTTATACAAAGTTTTATTTATTAACTAAATATTTATTGATCATCTATTACAGGGAAAGCATTATTCTCAGTACTAGGTATTTTACAGTAAACAAGACAAAAGAGACTTCTCATTGAAGGGAAGTTACACTCTAAGGGTGACACCTAACAACAATCAACTCAATAAACAAATGAATGAAATAATCAGCTACATCTCAGAGGAAACAAAGAGTGGTTTTACTTAGAGTAGGTAATCAAGGAAGGAGATGAGAATATAAAACAAATAATTGCTCACAGTTTAGTTCTACAGGATTATGTCATTAGCCACTGCAGCTATTAACCTACAGCGCACCCTGAAAGGAATTCAGGATGCAAAACAAGATGAGGCATTCTGTGCTTTGGATAAACAAGCCCATCAGAAAGTTGGATGTATATCTCAGGAAGAATTTTCATGAACCCAGATTCTTACATTTTCCCATACATAAAAATCATTCTAAAATCATTAACCGATATATCTGTGTCTTGTGACTAACATGACCTTTTACTGAGATGTATGCTTGACTGCATGTATTTTAAGAAATAAATCATATATTAGGACTTCTTCCCTACTTCCACACAACAGTTTCCTCAGACCTATGGAGAAGCTATTTCATAGGTTATAGCTCTCATAAAGTCTCTGAATAAAACTCAAACTCACAGATCTAACATTGTGCATTTTTCTTATAGTCAATAAATGATTCTGGAGCTGAGAATTCAATGGTAGAAAAAAGTCGACCAAAACTGAAGGCGAGATACCCATGCAAAATGAGTATCAAGCACAAAAATCTTGCAGAGGGGATGTGCATGGCATGCTAAATGAACTAGAAAGAGAGCCCAATATGCTAGCAGCATAGAAACCAAGTAGGCAGCATAATTAGATGAAGGTCCAATCAGGTGAGCCCTTGGAGACCACTTTAAGGTTACATAAACACAAAAAGTTTAGATTTTAAGTGATGGGCAGTGGAAATCTAAAGGACACATTGCTAAATCAATGAAAGACATTATATCCCACATTCTCTCTGGCCACTATATGCGAAGTAGATAATATGGAAATCAAGAACAGAGGCAGAGGACTTCCCTGGGGTCTAGTATTTGCCTGCCAATGCAGGGGACATGGGTTCGATCCCTAGTCCTGGGAGATTCCACATGCCATGGACCAACTGAGACCATGTGTTAGAACAACTGAGCCTGTGCTCTAGAGCCTGCAAGCCACAACTCCTCAGCCCTTGCAGCAAGAGCTTATGCCTCATGGTCCACAACAAGAGAAGCCACCACAATGAGAAGCCTGCGTACTGCGACTAGAGTAGCCCCCACTTGCAGCAGTGAAGACGGACCCAGCGCAGCCAAAAATAAATGATTAATTTTCATTAAAAACACATATCTTTTAAAAAAAAAAGTGGGAGGGGCACAGTCCTAAGATGGTGGAGGAATAGGATGGGGAGACCAGTTTCTCCCCCACAAATTCAGTGAAAGATCATTTGAACGCAGAACAAATTTCACGAAACAACTTCTGAACACTGGCGGAGGACACCAGGCACCCAGAAAGGCAGCCCATGGTCTTCAAAAGGAGGCAGGAGAAAATATAAAACATAAAAAGAGAGACAAGAGTTAGGGATGGAGACCCATCCCGGAGAGGGAGTCGTGAAAGGGCAGAAGTTTCCAAACATCAGGAAACCCTCTCACCGGCAGGTCTGTGGGGGAGTTTTGGAATCTCAGAGGGGGCAACATAACCTGGAAGAATAAATAAATAAAACCCACAGATTAGGCACCTAACCTCAACTCCCAGAAGAGAAGTAGCCCAGATGCTTGCATCCACTACCAGCAAACGGGGGCTGAACAGGGAGGCGCGGGCTGCATTGCTTAGGGTAAGGACCGGGCCTGAATGCCCTGAGGACAATCTGAGAGAGCTAACGTGAGACAGTAACCCAAACTGTGGGATAGCCAGAGAGAGAGGAAAAAAAAAGAGAGAGAGAGAACTTTCCCAGGAAAAGCTCTAACCTAAGGCACTGCCGGCAGCTCACAGAACCAAGGACTGAGCGAATACCAGAGGAGAGCTAGCTGG